GGGAGAAAGTTGTAGAAAGTCAACCATCACTGTAGCCCTCCACCAGTCGGGGCTTTATGGCAGAGTGGCCCGACGGCAGCCTCTCCTCAGTGCAAGACACATGAAAGTTTGCCTGGAGTTTGCTAAAAAACACCTGAAGGACTCCAAGATGGTGAGAAATAAGATTCTCTGGTCTGATGAGACCAAGATAGAACTTTTTGGCCTTAATTCTAAGTGGTATGTGTGGAGAAAACCAGGCACTGCTCATCACCTGTCCAATACAGTCCCAACAGTGAAGCATGGTGGTGGCAGCATCATGCTATGGGGGTGTTTTTCAGCTGCAGGGACCGGACGACTGGTTGCAATCGAGGGAAGGGTGAATGCGGCCAAGTACAGGGATATCCTGGACGAAAACCTTCTCCAGAGTGCTCAGGACCTCAGACTGGGCCGAAGGTTCACCTTCCAACAAGACAATGACCCTAAGCACACAGCTAAAATAACGAAGGAGTGGCTTCACAACAACTCCGTGACTGTTCTTGAATGGCCCAGCCAGAGCCCTGACTTAAACCCAATTGAGCATCTCTGGAGAGACCTGAAAATGGCTGTCCACCAACGTTGACCATCCAACCTGACAGAACTGGAGGGGATCTGCAAGGAGGAATGGCAGAGGATCCCCAAATGCAGGTGTGAAAACTTGTTGCATCATTCCCAAAAAGACTCATGGCTGTATCAGCTCAAAAGGTGCTTCTACTAAATACTGAGCAAAGGGTCTGAATACTTATGACCATGTGATATTTCAGTTTTTCTTTTTTAATAAATCTGCAAAAATGTCAAAAATTCTGTGTTTTTCTGTCAATATGGGGTGCTGTGTGTACATTAATGAGGAAAAAAATGAACTTAAATGATTTTAGCATATGGCTGCAATATAACAAAGAGTGAAAAATTTAAGGGGGTCTGAATACTTTCCGAACCCACTGTATGTGTTGTAGCTCTACCTTGGTACAGTCTGCGGTGATAAACTGAGCACTGAAGATTTTCTCGGTCATGTGACTTTTCTTCTTCATCTCTTCGTAACGACTCTGACACTGTTCCACCGACACTCCTGCTATATCTGAAAACAAACCGAATGTGAATGTCAAACATATACACAACCTCTGCAAAGCAGTGATTGAAACAGAGCCACTACCCAGAGCGGGAATGACAGACGGTTGAACTTTTCAACAGACTTTGCATCAGGGTCTACCACAACCAGAAGCCCTGGATGTGCTGGGAGGTCAAGCACCTACTGAGAAAGAGGAACACTGTCTTCAGGACAGGCAACAGGGCTCTCTACAGCGCGGCCCAAGCTAACCTGAAAAGAGGCATCAGAAAGGCCAAATTGGACTGTAGGAGGAGGATCGAAGACCATCTGGACAGCAACAACAGCAGGCAGGTGAGGCAGGGAGTCCAGCATATTATCAACCACAGAGATAATCTTGGTGTGGCTGAAGTGGACACCTTGCTGGCAGAGGAGCTGAACCTGTTTTTTGCCTGTTTTGAGGGGCAGCAACCAGACACAGCCAAACTGTACCCTGCGGCCCACAGCGGCCCCAAACTCACAGTAGGGGAGCATGAGGCGAGTTGCGTGCTGCGGGCAGCATCCCCGAGGAAGGCTGTTGGACCAGACAGCATCCCCAGATGTGTGCTGAAGGACTGCACGGGCCAGCTGGCTGGAGCCTTCACCAAGATCTTCAACCAGTCTCTGGCCCAGTCCACTGTTCCACCCTGCCTGAAGTCCTCCATCCTAGTTCCCCTGCCTAAGAAACCCAACATAACCAGCCTCAATGACTACCGGCCAGTTGCACTCACTCCAGTGATAATGAAATGTTTTGAGAAACTGATACACATCATTCCTCCCACCAACATCTGGCCCACACCAGTTTGCATACAGGGCAAATAGATCCACAGAGGACCCTGTAGCCACAGCCCACCACGCTGTGCTGTCCCACTTAGAGCATCAAGAGAGCTATGCACGGCTGCTCTTTGTGGATTATAGCTCCTCATTCAACACCATCCTTTCCCACAAACTGGTGGTGTTAGGGTGATTTTTATTTTTAGATAGAAATTAATATAATTAGTTAGGGTTTTTATTATATAGCATACATAAGTTTATATACTTTAATCTCACAGTTGTGTTTATGTTATGTATTTACATATCACCCTAAGTGTGCACTGAATCACTGGTCAGTATATTGTGTTAGCCAACTGGAGCACTGGTTAACATCAAGGGAGACTGGTTCACTAAAACACTGAAATCTCATTAGATTTACAGCTTTAGCAAAGAGAGTCCACAGATACTTTATTACCACCACCTGGCTAATGGGGCTGTCCACGACCATTGGAGCAGAGAGGATGATCGGAGGATGGACGGACTGAAGGACCAATCTTGGGAGAGTTGAGTTTAAACCACAACTTCTCCCCAACAGTTTTGGACCAATCAGATAGCAACATCTTTTCATATAAATGTTGTATACCGCGAAGTTGACGTCAGTCTTTTCTGTTTTTCCTAAGCAGTCAAGATCCATGTGTACATGCTTATTTTGATATGTTAATGCATAATAAATTTCACACTGTGAAATATCTTTATATTTAGTCTTTTCTTTTCAATATACGAGAACACGTTTCGACAGTGGACAAGCTGGTGGACCTGGGATTTCCATATTCCACCTGCATATGGATTAAGAGCTTCCTGTCCGGACGCAGCCAGAGGGTGAGAGTGGGCCTACGCACATCCACGGCTCTTAGTCTCAGCACTGGTTACCCATATGGCTGTGTGCTGAGCCCCCTGCTCTACACCCTGTACACCCATGACGTCACCCCCGCCCACCATTAAATTCAGTTGCTAGATGTGGATCATCCACACTTGCATGGAGGTATTTTGGCTTCGAAAAGATTAATGTTGCTCAAAAGACGACAATACCAAAAATCTGAAAACGTGATGGTACTTGTTTTCTATGGTACCAAAGGTACTGCAAGAATTGTAATAGCTGTTCTAGGCAGTGGAGAATGCGATTTCTCCAACACTGACAAGGGCAGCATAGTAACCCTACATGTATTCTGAACACAGAGACAGAGGAAGGTAATGCAGCAGCAAACAACAACACGTGATGGTGTCGGTAGGCCCAGGTGCTGGACCTTGAGAGGAAAAAAGAAAAAAAGAAGACTCTAAAAGTTGCATATGGAGCTATTTTGCATTTGAGACAAATTATCAGGGACGAGTTATAGACTACCAAAACCCAGTATGCAAACAGTGTCTCAGAGCTTTAGCCATGAAAGGAAGAAACACCTCGAACTTAGCTATGCATCTCAAAGACAGGTCAGTTTTAGGTATCCATTTTGAGATGCCTGCCAGGTGAGCACAGACAGATCCAGGAGAGACACATCAGTCCATCACAGGTGACAATGACCACTAAGTGCCTGACAGGTGACAGGTGTGTTAAAACATGGAGAAATGTGATGTCACAGTGCCATCACTAAGAGGGTTAGGGAAGAGCTGGAGGAAGAGATGAAGAACAAACAGATGTTGCAACACCTGACAACACCAGGTCAGAGAGATAGGTAACAATAACCAATGATAACTAATTACCTGCACAGACCAGGTGACTGATCCCCCCTCTCCTCCACTTCAGCAAGTCTCCTCCTTTCCCGCAGCCTAGGTCCAACACTGATATCTGTGGAGAACCACCCTCCCTCACCTGTTCTAGGATCTCTCCTGTCAATCAAACAAACAGCCAATAAACTTTATGGCCTTTAATGTACAGTAGGCCAGGTGTTTTTCTTCTGTCAAACCTGAGTGAAGAGCTAAGATTATTAACTTCCTTTAAGATCAACGGAACCCTCTGAGACACTGTGGTTACTAAAACACCTGAAAACACCTGCTGCTTTCTCATAGTTGCACACAATTATTTACTGATTGATAATATCTAGTACTATAGTTTTTAAATGAACTCATGAAGAAGATTCTGCTTCGACTTCGAGCAGCCAGACCAACTTCCTGCAGACGGTTGTAGTGGCTTGCTACTTTCACACTGTGATCAATCACCTGACAGATCATTAAGATGCAATCAGTACCTTTACACTGTGAACAATCAACTGGATCAAAAATCAGACCAGAACCATACACATCAATCACATTATCAATAACTTCATAATTACTCGATAAATGTACCCGATTCTTTGTTGTTGAGGTCTCCTTGTCGTTCTCCTCTTCCTCATGTTTCCTCTTCATCCCTGCTTCCCATCGTCGTCGTGCAGTCACTCCATCCTCCTGCTCTCCTTCCTCCTTCACAGTTTCTGTCCTCCCAGGCTGAATCTCCATGTTTCACCTGAACACACAGAGACACAGACAAAGACACATGCAGATGAAAATGATATAAAGACAGAGCAACAGTTAAACATGACTCGCTGGAGGAGTTTCGGGACTCTGGTGTTTCCCTCTTTAGTGTTTTCAGACATTTCATTTCCGGTTTACAGACCTCAGTGATGACAATTAAGCTAACTGCTCAGATTAATGTTAGTTTAACATCACGCCCTGTGACAAAAGCACTTTCACTAAACATTTTAAAAAACAAGAATTCTGTGAACCAAAGTGTCCTGACAGAACCGAAGGACGACACACAAAAACAAAACACTCAAAGTTCAAATCGTATAAGTCCGGAAACGCAACGTCTTTCCCAGATTTATAAGATTCGGTTCCTTCACCCGAAACTGGACTGCTTAGCCCATTAGCGAACACTGCGGTGCCCACCATAAATCTGAATATACAGATGATTAACAGGACAAGGACACACTTTTAGATTACAGCCTTTACTCTGGTAGAGATGCAAATCTCAGTGACACCGCCGATGAGGACGATGTTTTTCTCTTTTCTCTGTTATTTTAGTTACAACGAGTCACAAAAATTATTAGGTTTCAAACGCGAACGTTAGCGGCTAAGAGCTGTTAGCAGCTAGCATCCTAACAGCTCCTGAAGTCAAATAAATTTATTGTGAAATATTACTGAACCACCCGGTTTAAACCAGACAACTTATGAGAAGCAAGCATTTACACTTTCCGTTGCTAAAATTTTTTGCACAAGTTAAACAACCAAACAAATAACTCACAGTGTCTGCAATGAATAGGGACGCACTCTGAGCAGCTGTGGGCTGCGAATACGTCATATTTCTGCGTCACAACAGAAAAAAGATGGCGGCGGGGTAAACAGTAGAAACACTGGCAGAACAGTTGGGCACTTTATATCAGATTTAAAAACGAGCGTCAACAAGTCACTAGTCCTTAAGGAATACAACTCAACAGGTGTGAACTGTATTCCATTTAAAAACACAGGTACATATTTAGGTGTCTAAAGCTGACGGAATATCTAGAGAAGCTTATGTAGCCCTGTCACTAGGTGGTGTAAGGATGACTTGATGCAGACACACACCAAGGCCAGACGTTCATGTTTTTAAGCACTGGCCCAAATGTAAATGTATGTAAAACAATGCACAAAAGGCAATTTAACACAACGTAACACAACTTTCCCTAACTGTGATACTTCAATAAATGAAAAGACATCAACAGAATAAAAATGTCACTTTGTTTAAACTGTAAACTCAAGTTCATTTGTAAATATATATACAGTATATTCTGTCTCGTAGTTCACAATCCAATTTCCCATACATTGATTTATTTGTGGAAGCCCACCACAATACCAGTATTGATCGCCACATGTGGACTTTCTTTATTATTGTTTTTACAATTTTAAATGGGTAAATATTATTTCATTGTAGAGCTGTTCACAGTACACTGACAGGCTCGTCCTCTCTCTGTTGCACTCACACAGACTGTGAACAGCTCCTCTTCTCCGTGTCTATTTTAATACAACGCCATCAGTCGTGGAGACATAACTGTACTAAGGTGATAGCAAGTTGGTAAGGCTAAGTTAACGCTAGAACAAAGCTAGTTGCCGAGGTTGTATGTAGCTGCTAGTCAATAGTGGGGATATATCGTGGCCACACTAACTTTTTGTGGCCACAGGGCCTGGACACGGTGTGCTTCAATTTCTTGTCAGCTTATCTTAGATCAGTTTCACATGGTGATCCTGTCTGGTATGTCTGTAATTCATCCTGCTAATGGAGAACTGAGAAATATATGGGTTATTACTCTGCCGGCAGATACTCCTGCTCATCACCATCCAGCTGAACCATTACTGGCTCAACTTAAAGGTCAGTTTGCCTAGGAGGTATCCTATAAGTTATTAGTAGTCTCATTCATCACTTTAATGAAAAGAAAACAACTCATCAGTCAATAATATCTACTCTAGTTGTATCTATTGAGTATTTCCAGTAGACAAACTTGAAGAAAACAAACATGTCTATTATCACTGGTTGTTTTTGTTCTCTTTACAGATGAATTCCTGGGACTAAATAAATTAATTGGGCTTTGTGATCAGCTGGTGAAACTATATCCACCT